ACCGACCCCAGGAAAGCAGCAGAGTAATGAAGTGCACCGCTCCGGCTGCGGTTACTCTGGCCGTCCCCGAAACTGCTACTAAGGGCATTTTTCACTTTCTAATAAATGCTTTATGCAAGCAGGACAACCGAGAGATAATATAGGAATCAATTCATAAAGCTTACTCTAAACCGATTAATTTGTTGCCTTCAATCCAGAGTCCAATAAACTCCCGGTGTTCCTCTAGTCACTTATACTATAAAAAGATCAAGTTATTTACTGCCAATTAAGCAGCATGTTTTGTCTTTGTCCTTTGTAAGCCGTATGTGCTCATGCCGAGGCATCTGGCTATCTGCTAAGGACCTTCAGATTGATACGTCCAGAGCAGCGAGGACGAACTTTTCCTGCCACTGGCCCAACTCGGCTGCAGGAGGAGAACTGAGGCCGATTTAAACACACATTTCCTCAGAAAGAGTACCTGGAGGTATGTCCAGTGACCGCACAATAAAACAGGAGAACTGCACCAATTAAGCTGTAACAAAAAACCCGAGACTTTGGAAAGAAAACCACTCTAAAAGCCATTAGCATTGCATTTATCCGAACGCATCGTATACCTTTATGTAAATTGATTTCTGATGCATTTGTTCAAGGAATTGCCTTTTGTTACAGTTTCCAGCTACAGCCTAATGAATCTGCATTTCCTGCTCCGAGTCTTTAAACCGTTTTCCTACCCTTTAAATCACTTCGGATTTCTTAAAAGAAAGAAAAAGGCTCCATGCCACCACCTTAACCTGTCTTTGTCGAAGACAAATATGTACAAATATAAAATGGGAAACGTTACRCTGAGAAAACCATCCAGTAACCCCATTAAGCTAAAGCTCTTAAGGACAAGCAATACCTTAATGCTGATTAAATCTAAAAAGATGAATCAAGAGGACTGACCAGAAAGTGACTCCCTTGATAACTAAGGACGGGCCCTCATCAAGTTTCATTTAGAGTTGGGGGGGGAAGCTTTTAACTTAAATAGGCTTACTCTAGTAATTACAGAGCCAAGCAATTTAGGTCCTGGGATAGGAGTCAGTGAAATAGAAAGCAGAGCTAGAAGCTAGAGGCAAAATACCCCCCCCCCCCCCTTTTTAACAGCGTCTCTGGTGCTTTTTTAATGGAGACCAAGGGAGGGACAAGCGGAGAGCTGGAAATTTGTAGTACAAAAATGGATGCTTAATTCATGTCTTGGTTYTAATTAGGTGATTCACCGAATTTCTTCTGGATTGAAACAAAAGACCGTGTGGGGGGCAGGAAGAGAACTGGAGAGGAGAGAAATAGAGAGCTCACTTTGATCTTTCCTGCCACTGTTTCAGAACAGTGTTTACTACGGGGGAAGCGGGTGCCCCAGCCTCCCCCCCGTCCCCTCCATTCACAGCCAAGGCAGGCAGAGCTCTTTCCCGGCGGCAGCTGGGAAGGGGGGGCAAGGGAAGGCGCTCCAGCGGCGGCCGCCACCAGGCTTTGTACCGGGGGCCGCGACAATGCCCGGGGCCCACGGCGCCCCGCTCCGCGCCCCTCCGCCCGGCGGGCAGCGGGACGGCGCCGGCAGGCGGGCACCGCGCACACGAACGCTGCGAAACACGGGGGAGCGACCGGCACTTCTTACCTGCTTCCCCTCTATATTGCAAAAGGCCGGGGAGCGCCGCTCGGGGTGTCTGAAGAGGTTTCCTTGCAAAGAAACAAGCACAGCGCTTGCCCTCTCGCCGGCTGTCGGGAGCGCTGGAAGGAGCCCCCCGCCCGGCAAGGGGCAGCCCAGGCTGGAAAAATATAGATATTGCAATGAGAGGCGTCTGCCCGGGTCCTTCCTCCAGCTCCCGCTTCCCGGGAGGGGAGCTGCAGAGCTCGGTCCCTGCCGCTGAGCCGCACACGCAGGGCGCCGCCGCCGCTCGCTGCTGCAATCGCCGGGCAAGTTTGGCAATGTGGCTTCACTTTGTGCCGCTTCCCCCCCGCCCGCCCACCTCCGCCCCCTCTCCGGGCTGCGGCGGCTCCCGAGCCTCCCGCGGCGCGGAGCCGGCCGGCCGCGGCCCGCTAGAGCGCCTCAGCGGAGCGGGCGGGAGCCGGCGAGTTTGAGCGGGGCCGGGTGCGGAGCTGCTGCCGGGATCCTGCGGCGGCGGCGCTGGCGGGGCGCGGGGGCGGCCCCTGTGCCCGTCTGAGCGTGAGGCTGCAAGTGCGTGTGTGCCCGTGTGAGTGCGTGTGTGCCCGCACGGTGCGCGTGTGCCCGCTGCCCTCACACATGTGTTACTGACAGAGCAGAATCCCAACTACACTCCGGCTCGGCGCCCCCGTCAGCCCGCCGCAGCCAATCCGCCCCCGGCTTGTTCAGGCGGAATAATAAAACCTGCCAATCCCCGGGAAGACAAAGGAATGAGTGAGAGGGGAGGGAAAAAAAAAAAAAAAAAAGCGAGAGAGGAAGGGAGGAAGGGAGG